ACACCTGTAATTGGGAGATCACTTTCTGCCTGAATGCAGATGTCAACTGGAGTCCCTCGTGAGCTGAGCTTTGCATTGTAGCTCTTTCAAGTTCCCCAACAGAGTATGAAAAGCAAAGAATTTGTTCCCAGATGGATACTGTGCATTTTAATTTAACTTGTGCTTTTTAGTCTTGTTTAGGCCCTGCAGAACAACAGTCTGGTTTCAAAGTAGATATTTATTCCTTGCTGGTATTTATATTGATAGATTTATTGTCTAATTCTGCTTATTAGTGTGATTGTGCTTACCAGTTCATTTTTCTTTATATTAAACTGGACTATTTCAGATATTCCAAATCAAGTCGCATCACAAACTGAACTGTACCTCAGGCATTTTTTGCTTGAAATTTTCAAAGAGCAATGGAGCCTAGAAGCTTCTATAATGTTTTGGTGAACAAGAGTTTTTAAATGTGATGGGTAAATAAAATCTCTCTACTAAGAGGAATGATCCAGTAGACCATAGCTTTTGTATACAGGTGGCATTACGCTGCTTTATTTTGAGCTTGATTTGTGCTCTCGCCTCATAGATATCAGCCATCTACCATTCTGCTACGAGTGTGTTTATTACTCTTTTTTTCTGAGATAATCTTCCTTAGGGAGTTTATCTCAGATGTTCTGTCTCTTGAACATTATTTCATAAAAAATAGATAGTTTCTCAGGTGTGCTTAAACAAACTGGAATTATTTTGATTTCTAGCCATCTTAGGTAGTGATTAGAAATTCTGGAAGTTGCGGCTTTAAAGGGCACCAGTTAGGGGAAAGCTATTTTAAGATGCAACGTTTGTGAGCTCTTTTTGTTAGCATGCATAGACTACATTTTATGAGGATGGTTTATGGGCTTCTGTCACTAGATACATACAGTCTTGGTTTAACTGATGCTAATAGAAAGTGGAAACTCAGTATTTAAGCAATGCAATCATAAGTCAAAAAATCAAATTTACCTGTCCAGATAGCAACAACAGTTCCAGCAGTCCCAGTTGCCATCATTAAAAGAAGCCTGTGCAAGTTGAAAAGTGAGGATGTCATGCGATCAAAACTTCTGACTTCCTACTGGCTTCACCATTGACTTTGATTGTGGGAAGCCTGCAGGAAAGATCAGAAATCACAACCATCTGATTGGAGGGAAGCCATGAATGCTGTACATATGAGGTCCAGTTACAACTACCGAGCCTTTGGCCGCGTTGCAAATTCAAATGGTTGCTGAATGAGTGGTTGTTACTGTGAATTAGAAGATTGCTGCTAAGGTTGAAACATTTTGGAAAGATATTCAGAAATATAGTACTTAAGAATGAAATCTTCCACATTCATATATTGCATACCAGGCTCATCTCTATCACAATTTTTATACTCCACATTCAGACTTGAAATGTTTTGTATTGCAATGAGATTTTAAGCAAGGAGCCAAATTCTGGTTTCTTTTTCAGTACTACTTGGCATCCCAAATGATCCCTTTTCTTCCTTGGGGAGAGAGAAATTCTGCCTGTTCCTCAGCCCAAAGGCAAAATTATTTTACGTGTTCTGTGGGAATATTTCTGTCATTGAAAATGCATAATGATTTCTATTGTGATTGCTGCTTTAAAAACTTTGGCCTAATGGCAGATCTACTGGGAAACCTAAAACAATCACTTTCATGATGTATTGTGTCAATTCTTTTTTAAAAGCCTCATTCTGGTGCAAGAGGCAGATGATAATACACAAAACAGTCATTGGAATTTTACTGCATTTACCATCTATAGGTGCAAATGCCAATTGTTGCTATTTCAAACATCTTTTTTCTTCCAGGCATATTGTGCTATTCCAGTCCACCAGATGTCAAGGAACAGAATAAAATATTTGGAAAGATTACCTTCCTTTTTTATATTTCAAAAAAGAATGAAGCCTGTCAAGACTATAAATATCTTACAAATGGAGCATGTTTGCTTTTGCCTTGTATAAAGTTTTTTTTAATGGACTATCTCAAAAAGAGTCATTAAAATTTCAGAGAATATATTATTGCTTCTTCGCTCTGCTTATATTTTCTAGGTGCTAAGGAGGGACTTTGGAGCTGCTTTTACGTTGTGAGATCATTCTGTCCTGCATGGCTAGCACCAAAATTCTTCTTGCAATATTACAGCCAACATAATTAAGTAGCGATTCAAATGCCTCCTAGCCCTGTGTTGGTAAGTATGAATTTTCAAAACAGTGGAATGAAAATTCTTAAAAACATTTGAATTTTATGTTTTCTTGCTGTTTTATCCAGGTGATTACATATTCCAATTGAAGAATTCAAGCCAACCAGTTAAATTAGGGTAATAGGCAATCCGAAAAGCATTACAAAGTATTCTTTATGACTGTTCCTGATAGTACAGGTAACCCTCGCCTTAAAGCAGTTCATTTAGTGACTGTTCAAAGTTACAACAGCACTGAAAAAAGTGACTTATGACTGTTTTTCACACTTATGACCGTGATCAAAATTCAGACACTTCACAACTGACTCAAATTTATGACCATTGCATTGTCCCAGGGTCACGTGATCTCCTTTTGCGACCTTCCAACAAGCAAAGTTAATGGAGAAGCCAGATTCACTTAACAACTGTGGCAAGGAAGGTTGTAAAGTGGAGCAAAACTCACTTAAAAATGTCTCACTTAGCAACAGAAATTTTGGGCTCAATTGTGGTTGTAAGTTGAGGACTGCCTGTACATCAGATAGTTGCAATATTATTATCTGGTTTCTAAAACCTAATTTTAGCATGCAAAATCCAAACTGGATAGGTCAATAGCATAAAATGTTTGAGACAGTTCTTGCTGATTGTTTTATCTGAATGGAAACAATTTACCCTTAAAATCATCTTAGATTGGTTGAGAATATTTTTGTTTGTTTGTTTGCCATCTTTAAGAACTGCCCATTTCTCTCATGGAGGGAGAGAAACTATCTTGATGGTGTACAGTAAAAATGATAGAGAAATGACTGGGCTTCTTCAATATAGGATTATATTTTGGATAATAAGTAAAGTGCTGGAAACGAGCAAATCATTACCTGTACAACTGTACACTAATGTACAGTTATAAGGATTCCCTGCTGGTGGCAAGAAGGCAGGTTTCCCACCCTTCTCAAAAATAAATAAATAAATAAATAAACAAATAAATAAATAAGCTGTTCAACATAGCCAGTGCCTGTGGGTCATGAACTGTGTCCCATGGTATGAGATGAGATCTCTCCCTTGCAATTTTGGAATTTCCACAGTTCATAGTTGTCCAACTAATTCATCACTGTTCCTAACTATCTAGATATGCAACTTAATGAGAGAGAGTAGGAAAGTGCCTAAGGATTTTCCATTGACTTTATTCTCCAAACAAAGTAATTTGTTCTACCCCATTCAATCTTCCTCACTCCCCAGCTTTTATACCATTGAACAGCAGAGAGGGAGGAAGGGAGGAATTCAGGGCCACATGCAAGCTGCAGACTATTCACCCGTGTCATTGGTTGGAAATATAAAGAATACAAGTCGTTCTCAATTTCTAACTACCTAGCCTGGAATTCTTGTCATATGTCATGATAGTTTAAGTCGAGATACCTGCATGACTGATTCAATTTTCGGGGGTGGTGGTGGTTTGCGGCAGTTATAAGCAAACACTGCAGTTGTTAAGCAAACCCATTGTCCACAAGCAGATGTTTTTTGGCAAGCAATATAAATTGTGATTGTGAGACACTGCATACAGCCATAAAATGTGGGCCGGTTGCTGAGTAATCATGTGATCATGGAGTGGGATTGTTGTGAATCTGGGTCGTAATATCTTTTTGAAGGTCTGTTGAAACTTCAAATGTTTGCTAAGTGACTGGTCGTAAGACAAGGACTACTGCACTCTAAATTTGAGCTGCCTGCTGCTGTTGAATTGTTGCATCATTTTACTTACAGCACTTGCAGATATTTAACAGTTGTAAAAACTTTTTTAAAAAAACTAGAAAGGAAATAGCAAAACTGTTAAAGAAGCCTAAATATGCCACATTCAGTGTTTGGAAAGTGCAATATGTATTTTTTCATTTGGCAGATTGCGTCAGTCAATGTCCAATTTCCAAGTTCCTTTCCAAGTCCAGCCTTGAAGATGTGGACCAGGGTTGTATTTTCCCTGTTGCTTTCTTTATGTTTGTCTGATCATGGGAATTCCATTTTAAAAGAGAGTGGCGCTGAAATAGCACACATATATCCGCTCAGTAATGAAAAGCATTGTGAACAAGCTTGTAAAGGCTCAACAGATGAAGGTCAGTCTACCAATATTCATCTTAAATGTTTTTCTTGGGAAATATAATGTCCTCACCATTTTCCATTGTTGTAATTATGGTTTCTGTAAATGATAGCTAAATTATTTTACTGCATTAGTTAGATAGGAAACAAGCCATTATTTCCCCAGGGAATGACGATTCTACAAGGGCTCTAGAGCAGCTTGTACGCATTCCACTAGTTTAAACAGTTGTGTTATATTGCTTAGCCTGCTCGCTAACCAGGTGTTTTACACTTCGATAAAAGTTCATATCTTTTTGTCTCTCTTTTACCATATTTATGTCATGCTTTGGGGCGTGCAAAGCCCTTAAAATCAATTGATCTTGGGTTCAGAAATCATTCCATCCAATGCTATGTAAAGTAAGGACTTCTAGAGTTTAATCAAGCCTGACAGAGATCTAGCTTTTTTTCCCTCTCTCTATAAAGTCTTTGAGAAGATGTTGACACATTGTTAATTCCATGTTCCCTGATGTAATTCAGTCCAGTAGCCCACAGATAGGCAATTGTCTTCTCACAATCTTATAGCAATTTCTCTAGTCACTCTTCATACCTTTAATTCTGCTCCTTTTCAAGTTCAGTTGCCCGTAACTATTTGTTTTTCCCATCCCAAGATGTGTCCTTCTGCAGACAGCTGTTCAATCTAGTTAGTCCAATGTTACCTGTTTCATTTTATCTCTGGCTGAAGTACAGAACAGACATGTCCTTTTGGCTATATTATCTGTCTATTTTCCTCTCTTTAGTTACATAATTAGGGGGAACATTAAATAGCTATTCAGTGCCAAATTCCTTGCATTGTTTAACATGGAAGGATTACTTAAATGTTTTAACTAACATTGCAGTGGACATTTTCCTGAATAGCATTTGCTTATAAACAAGAATACAGAATCTTAATCATAAGGAAGATGTTTAGTTGATAAAATTAATGTGATATAAAATATTTCTGGGAGCTCCATTTTAATTGCCGTTCCAAGTGATTGCTGAAACAAAAAGGTCACAAAAGATTTGTGGGGAGGAAACAAATGAAAAACTGAAACAGAAATGGATGGTGGTCATTTAACTTTGCTAAAGTATAAATAAATCCTTGCTTCAAGGAATTCAGCTCTTCTTACACTGGCCTTACTTTTGGCCTTACAGCTTCAGGTTGGCTGAGTAATTGGAACTGTATCTCAAAGCATCTGGGAGGACCCCTAAGTTGGCTGTTATTTGTTTTTCTATACATTGTTTGACTTATTCCAAATGATGTTATTTCTTTACGATTTCTTTACGATTTCTTTAGATAATCCTTACTGCTGGTCGGTGCTGTATCAGAGCCACTGTGTCCTTCTCCGCTGTCCTCAGCTAAGTGCATGTCAGAATACCAGCAGACAAGATATTAAAGAGCTAATGAGAGGTAATGTGAATTTAGCAGAATATTTTTGGTTTTAAAAATAATTTATAACAAGTAAATGACTATTTCACAAGACTCTCATATATTTACCCTTCGTATATTTTTGGAGTTTAAAAGTAGCTCCAACAGAGCGTGCACCTGCCACTCTCACACACACACCCTGGGCTGGGCCACCAAGTTGGAAAGGTTGGGGACCACTGCTCTACACCACGTTCTCTGTTCTAAGTGTGAAACCATTGAGCTAGGGAAATAACCCTGTAACTGGGTGCCCATATGTTTCTAAAGATCAGGACTGCGTAGGTTTTTTTGATCCTTAAAAGATTTTCTGCATTTTAGCAACCATGTTAGATGGAATGAATTCCTGAAGCCAACAGTCAGTAGTGTGGATCTTTTTTTCTTCCCTTTAAGCACATTCCTCCCCCAGTTTGTTCTTTTAAAATGTCTTTCCCTCGAATATTTAAATGAACTGAATTATGATTTCCACATCAAATGTGCTTAAAGACATCATATGTGCTTTAAGAGCAGAAAGAAAAGCAACTGGTGTCCCCAGAATTATTCCCCATGAAGTATCTAAGATGTTATCCCTTTTTTCCAAACCCTCAGTTAAGGTATTTGGAAGAAAAATACACTAGGAACTACTGAGGCACTGACTCCAAAGGAATCTCTGGTATGTTTGAGAAGCGTTTTGCAAACAGGGAGGGCAACCTATTTGTGGGGAGAACTCCCAAAATACTGTTATTATTAAACTCCTATGCCATCCAACTCTCAACAACTCAACATGAGGACTTTTAAAGTTCTATTGCCCTGTGCTGTGCCTAGGGCAAGAATCAGCTGATTGTTCTTGTTCATTGTTCACCTTCAAATTAATGACCTGTTGAATGTTCTGCCAGCCTGATGTGGATGAAAACAACAAATTTTAGAATAGCAGCTGTTTGCATACACCTGACTTTTTCATCAAAGCTATCTGCTTTTGTAAATGCAGAATAGCCCTTGCCACCCGTTTAGGTAAAAAAGATTATTTACATGGCCAGTTATTTAAAAATATCCCTGGTGTTTTCCTTAATACGTAGTATTATATGTAATATATATTAAAATATATACTTCCTATTGCTCCAGAGCAGATTCTAATATTAAGATTTCTAAAATACATTAAAAAAAACTGATATAAGAAATAATACAAAAGTTAGAAAGGGATCTGAACCTAGAGGCATAGAATGCAATAAGTTCAAAAGTGCTGTGCACAAGTTCATACATCCAGACAGATAGGTAGATATGAAGTGGTGGCTGGGATTTTCATTCACAGTAAGCAAATTGGGGATAAATCAATTATCTTTAATGTACCATTCTTGAATTTTGTCTGTTGAAACTTGTCCATGAACATTTTTGTTGAAGTTCTGATTATGGGTCTGGTTTTTGCTTTTTAAGAATTTGTGACTCGTAAAAGAAGAGAACATGAAGCAGGCCACGAGATAAATGATACAGGAAATACGAATAAAGAGTTGGAGGTGCTGAAGAGTTCCGAATCAGTTCAGAAAGCCACAGAAGTGCCTCTTTTATTAATATCAAGGACTACAATGGGAGCTTCTACAGTCAACTCCACAAACAATGCCAGTTTGGCAAAACAAAATACTTCCAGTTTGAGAACAACCACTGCCAGCCTTGTGAATGCTAGAGTTTCCCAAGATGTTGCAGGATCAACAGCCATAATCAATATTAGTAATAGCGTGACAAAAATCCAGAATAATTCAACTGGTAGCATCCTAAATAACACCCTAAGTATTCCAAGCAGCCATCCTTGGTTAACTCCCACAAAAGGAGCAGACAGTACTACTGGCATTGCAAGTACTACAAAAGCAAAAGGGACACAAGAGAGTAAATTAATATCAGGCATACCTGAGAAAACAATATCAACAGAACCGCTTCCCAGGACTATGACAACCGCTGCTTTGACTACAATAGCAACTTATCCAGCACTTTCCACAACTTTCCAAAAGCTGCATAGAACTAGCATTCCTGCACCGGTTAACATTGGAAATGGTTCTCAGTCAGTGGTAAACTCATCTACAGTTGCATCCACCCTCCAGCCGTCAGCATCAACAGCCAAAAGCAGGATTCATACGCTTGCAAGTACAACCATGGCAGCAACTTCTGCAGCAACAATAAAGTCAGCTGAATTCACAACAGTTACAAAAGACAGGATAAAGCCCACTTCTGATAAGGTAATTCCTCCCGTGTTTACTAAAGCTGCCGACATCACCACTTCACAGCAAATATTGTCTACTAGTCAACCAGTGAAGGGGACAACCTCTGTACAACCCTTGTCAGTGCTCCCAAGTACAACTCCAAAAATGTTATCCAAACCAACAAGTACAATACAAAGCAAAACCCAGGAAGATACAGATAAAGAAAATAGCTTTTGGCAAGTAGATGTCAATTTGCTCTTAGCAGTGCTTCTCTTTGGTGTTCTGTTTTTTGTAACAATTGTCATCTTATTTGCCATACAAGCCTATGACAGCTACAAAAAGAAAGACTACACTCAAGTGGACTACCTGATCAATGGGATGTATGCAGACTCAGAGATGTGATGAAATATAGGTAGATTCTGATGTGAAAGCAATATAAATGAAAAGAAATATCATATCCATGCACACAAATAGAAATCTGAATCTATATGAATGAATACGATTTTATAGGGACAAATAGAAAGCTTAAGGTGGCTTGTCATTCAGTTCCCTGTTTTGCCTATAAGACCACCTGAAAATGCTTCCAAATTCCTTTCTGTGCAATGAAGGAGAAATGCCATGTATCATGCTTTTAAAGTACTTTTAAAAAAAAAACCTCATAGTTAAAGGGTACCATTAATGTATTGTTTCTCAAGCCATAGTATTGCTTCTATAGTGCTGGTTTCGTCTGCTAATGCCAAGGGGTGTTGGTGTTGCAAGTCTTCCCAGAGGGTTTCTTTCTGATTCCCGAGGTTCTATTCATCTCCCCTGTTTACCCCTATACAACAAATGGAGAAAAGGTGTTTTTCTTAACATGCCAATTTTCCTGAAAATTCCAGCTGGCATGAAGACTGTTAGCTGTTAATGCAAAGAAATGGCCAAGGATTAGCAGCATTAGCATCAGTGGAACAGCACAAAAGAGTGCCAAAATCTTTTGGGACCCTTTCCTTAGGTATGATATGCTTCATTTAGGTACATTTTAAAACCTTCCCAGAATTGCTAAGCACTCTCATTGCTTTATCCTGGGGGGAAGCATTTGTTGTAAGGTTAGAAAATCTAATAGTTAAAAATGTATTTACCATAGTCTGTTTAATGCTATACTATTTCAAGTCATGTTGATTCTGCACCTTTTATATGATTTTATTTTTGTATCCAGTCACTTAAAAATTGAGGCCTGGAGTCAATGTCAAGCTTTGTTGGCTTTGTTTCTTCCCTCCTCAATGTCTGTTTCTCACAAGCATTTTTATAACATGAATTCACATGGCAATTCTATTATTTTTCTCCAAAGTTCTCAATACCTTTTTCAGCTTGATCAAAGCATTCACAGCCATTTTCCTTTCGGTATTTTTTCCAAATTCAAGATCTCTTGGTTCCAGTCTTTTACATATGACTTCATGTATGACAGTATATGACAGTTTGTATTTTAATAATACTTGTAAAGATGGACATGCGAGGAGACTTAATACTTCTTTTAAACCCTGGTCCTTCTCTAGATCCATTCAGAAAGAAAACATTGCCCTTGTATGAGATCTTTTGATGATCTTTTATATTTTGCTGTCTACATTTACATCTTCGATTGCCAAAGATAATGGAATAATCAAGCCTTAAAAATTTACCTTAGTGAGGGAACTAGTTAAGACAGAGATTGCTTAAAACATCTACCAGGAATCGCTAAAGAAGCAAGTTAAAATTATCTAAATTGCATAAATCCAATAGTTGTTCAGTACTGCAGGCTACTTTTACTGGCTGCCAGCTACCTGTAATTTGGCAGTGCAAATCTCACTAGGCTCAAGTTTGACTCAGCTTTTCATGCTTCCGAGGTGGGTAAAATGAGGACCCAGATTGTTGGGGGCAATAGGCTGACTCTGTAAACTGCTTAGAGAGGGCTGTAAAGCACTGTAAGATGGTATATAAGTCTAAGCGATATTGCTATTTAGGAGAGCTTAGCATTTACTGATTTGCTTGAAGTCAGTTCTCATGTGATTTGAATTTTCCAAAATCCTAAAACTTGTTTGTAAAATTCCAAAGGTGGATATGTGTAGAGTGATCTAAAAGCATTAGAGTTTTGAAAACATAAGTTACACTTAATTCCACAAGAAAGGAGAGGCAGCTGAAAACCTTGTAGCGTACATTTGTTTATCCCCAACAGGACAGAATGAAGGGTGCTAGATACTACATTCTCAATAAGCTTAAGAAAAAGACAGGAAGAGGAAAGCTGAAAACAGCCACTGCCACCTTTTGAAGTTTCTTTGCAGGTGACACCCCTCTGTGCACCAACTTAGGGGAGACCTCCCATCTCTGTTTAACTTGTATTTTCAAATGTTTCTTGCATCTCTAGAAATGAGCCAATAGGGTGTGCTGTTGAGCTGTTCATGAAACACAATTCCATTTTTGGATTGTCAGAGGACTTCCAAATCTGAACTCCCCCCACCCTCCACCTCCCATTTCTCTTGTGCTGCTGCTCTTATTATCTAGCCATGGTTTCTCTTCTGCCACCATCAGTCTTTATAAATTATGTTTGAATTAGACATACCCTACAGTTGCAGTGAGAGGGTCCAACATCCTGCTGACCCCAATTAAAGTGAAGTAAACTATTTAGATAAGAGAGTACGGCTATTTTAAAAAGACATAAATAGCAAGTGTTTACTTTGCTCAGCTTTGCTCAGTATCAAAAACAAATCTACTAAGCTGGGGCAGGCAGAATGATTAAAATACAATTACATGTTTTTAAACTGCCTCCCATCTTCCCAAGCCTAGATAGAATGCTTAAGAATCGGGGAGACTGTGGTTCAAGTTGACCTTCATCCACAGAAACTCCACAGTGACTTTGAGCTAATCATCCCCTTTCAGTCCAGCCTATACCTGGTAAAATAAAGGCAGATCAAAATATGAGACCCCTTTGAGCTTCTGGAGGAAAGGTGCCATATAAATTAACAACTAAGTTGACATTTCAAATTTGTGTTAACAATCCACAGTCTGTAGAAGGATAATCCTGGGTTCCAAGAAACTTGCAATCTGAACTTCAACATGCAGAAAGAACTAGAGGCAGGAATAAACATGAGAAGAATATGCAGCTGTTTGGCTCACATGTGCCAAGGCTTGTTCGGTTATATATAGGCCAGCCAATAACAAAATTCTGATAAAATGAAGTAGGCTAAATGTTTCACAATAAAATTAAAATGCCAATTAAAATACAGAACAAAAAGAGGACAGCAGGCACCACAGGGAATCAAGGAAAGAGAGAAATCCCAAGTGCCAGGAAAAAGGAGAAATCCAGGCGCCAAATCATTTAAGCCCAGCATATTTTGGAAATGTTTTTCAGGGTCACTCTTGGAATGTCTATAAAATAATAAACTGACTAGCTGTCAGAATTTTTCACCCGTCCCTTGTTAAGAACAGAAACATTAAATCAATAAAGCTAAAACATACATATTGGAGCAGATATCAATAAATAGAAAATAATATTTTGCCTTGTATCGGAAAACACGGGTGCCTGGCAGCCCTCTCAAAGGGAAGAAGGTATTGGATTAATGTGCAAGACAGACCTTTTCCTTTGGTGCCCCTGTGATGTTTCCTTCATCCTGCCACCAGCCTTAACTGTCCTGGTATTACAGTGGTGTTTCCTCTCTTAAGCTGATAGCAACCTGTGTCAGTCTCAAGGCCTGCGCATCCTTTCCTGCCACATCTCAGCAATGAAACAGATGGGATCAACCTGGCACCTCTTGGCATTTCAGGCTAGTGTGGGCAGAGGCTGTCCTGGAAGCCTGGCCATTCCCTTTTAGTGGCAGTCTTCTACGTGAAGCTTAAAAGTCCAACCCTTTCAAATCACGCTCTTCTAGCAAAAGCCAAACTATTGAACCAATGCATTGGCTTAGTGCATAATGCACAGCTCAAATAAGGATGGCATGTAATGGCAAGCCAGAACAGAGGCTGTAGAAGCCAGATAGGGATTGGGCAATGGGTAGAGTGAATTTAATGCCTGCATAATTTTCTCCGGAACAGAAAGATAGCACTTTGAGCCCTGGGGAAAAGTCAAGACAAGGGTTTCTGATTCAGAATATATGCCTTTAGGACTATATGATTGTTCAGAGATAGTCATAGGCATAGTTCAAGGCCAGAACTGATCAAGCTCAGGCTGGAAGCTAGAGGCAACAAGGAAACACTATTGTGTTCATGTTTGACTTAGCCACAAGGGGACTATTTTGCTCTTTTTATTTTTATTTTATTTTTATTTATTTTTATTTGTTTACAGGATAATAGGTATAAGTATATACCTACATATACATTAATAAATGAAATGGGTACATATAAGAAAAATAAAAGAAACAATAGGACAGGGACAGTAGGCACGTTGATGCGCTTATGCACGCCCCCTACAGACCTCTTAGGAAAGGGGTGAGGTCAATAGTAGACAGTCTAAGGTTAAAGTTTTTGGGGTTTGGGGAAGAAACCACAGAGTCAGGTAGAGTATTCCAGACATTGACTACTCTGTTGCTGAAGTCGTATTTCCCGCAATCAAGTTTGGTGCGGTTAACCTTGAGTTTGTATCTATTGTGTGCTCTTGTGTTGCTATGGTTGAAACTGAAGTATCCATTGACAGGTAAGTCATTGCAATGTATGATTTTATATACCATACTTAAATCAGACCAAAGATGGTGCAATTCAAGGTTTTCTAGGTCTAGAATTTCAAGTCTGGTGGCATAAGGTATTCTACAACGAGTAGAGGAGTGGAGAACTCTTGTGAAATATTTCTGGACCTTCTCAACTATGCTAATATCAGATACATAATGTGGGTTCCAGACTGATGAGTTGTATTCGAGTATTGGTCTAGCAAATGTTTTGTATGTCTAGTTAGTAGTGTGATATTACCAGAGAAAAAGCTACGTAGGATTAGGTTAACAACTCTTAATGCCTTTTTGGCTATGTAGTTACAGTGGGCTCTAGCACTTAGATCATTAGAGATGAGTACTCCAAGATCCTTGACAGAGTTTGGATCATCAACAAGGTCTTGACTATTCAGCTTATATTTTATTTTCTGACTTTTTTTTTTTTGCCAATATGTAAGACAGAGCATTTATTTGTTGAGATTTGAAGTTGCCATTTGTTTGACCATTCTGATACATAGTCAAGATCTTTTTGTAGGGTAGCAGTATTGTCTGTGGTATTGAACAGCTTTACATCATCAGCGAAAAGAACGCAATTGCTCTTAATATGATCACAGAGGTCATTTATGTAGAGTATGAAGAGAGTTGGTCCTAGAACACTGCCTTGGGGGACCCCACTGTTGACAGGTACAGAATTTAATAGGACGCTCCCAATTTTGACCATTTGTTGTCTGTTTGACAGGAATGCAGGTGTCCAGAGGTACCATAAGATTTTAGTTTTAGGAGTAGTTTGTCGTGTACCACTGAATCAAAGGCTTTACAGAAGTCTATGTAGATTGCGTCTATTGCTTTGCCCTGATCGAGTTGTGTAGTCCATATGTTTTTGCAGTGTAAGAGTTGCAGATTGCAGAATAGTTTTTTTCTGAAACCAAATTGTTTATTAGAGAGTAGGTTGTTTGTCTCTAAGTGGAGGATGATGGATTGGTTAATAATTGATTCCATGACTTTACAGGTGATGCAGCATAAGGAGATTGGTCTGTAATTTTCAACTAGGCTGGGGTCTCCCTTTTTGAAGATGGGGATGACCGTGGCTTGTGACCATAGTTTTGGCAAGGAGCTGGTCCTGAAAGATTTTTCAAAGATTATGCTTAGAGGTTCGGCTATGGCAGTGGATAGCTTTTTTAAGAAGTAGACACATATTCCGTCCGGTCCAATAGATAGAGATGGTTTTAGATTGCGTAGTGCCTTTTCAACATTGTCTACTGTAAAATCGATATGTATTAGATCATTGTAGTTGTCTGTGGTTCAACTAGGAAATACTGGGCATGATCCATTGCTGTTTACAAATACTGAGCCAAAGAATGTGTTAAAGAGGTTGGCTTTAATGGTGCCATCATTGCAGTCTTTAGCATTAGGTCCTTTCAGGGGTGGGATGGACCTTGAGTCTTTTAGTTTGTTGTTTACAAAATTGTAGAAAGCGCGGGTGGAATTGGTGCGTAGAAGGTTTTCCTCTTGTTTAATGTGATACTTGGTGCATTCAGTCTTTATCTGGTGGCATAATTTTTTGTATCGACTTTTGAAGTTGA